TGAGAACTAATATGGTTTCTATAACTGAGCTTTACTTATGAGTTGGCTGTGAGCTTCCTGGTAGGTAGTACAAAAAGTGAAACTGGATAAGTTACATGGTTCTTGTTGTCAGAAAGGAGGAAATGGCAGTCTTTCAAAAGAAGCTGTTTTGCCTGGCACTAAATTTTGAAGGAAATTTCTTGGTGGGATCTTACCTCTAAGGCCTCTTCAACCTCTGAAATTCTGATACCATATTAGAATAATTCCAGCAAAAGAACGTACACCATTTTAGTGGAACAGTTAAGAACATGATCTTTGGAATCAGATTGACTAATCTGAGTGCATTTCTGGTATTTTTAGCTATATGAGGTCATGATGTTATTTGACTCTATGAGTGTATTTCTTTATCTGTAAATTGGGAATGTTAATACTTACTCCATAAGGTTGTTGGTGATTAAATGATGTAATGCCTGTAAAGTATTCTTACTTGGACATAGGAAACACTCAATAAATATTAGACAGCATCATCATCATCATCATCCTATTACTTCTTAGAGATCAGTGCAGGGGGATATGGAGGACAGTCCCAGACTGGGCCAGGATGCCCCAGTGCCACTTGATCCTCCACACTGAGTGACCCTGTCCAGGTCTGTTGACCTCTGTTTGTCTCCATCTTCTAGCTCTAAAATGAAGGTTAATAATACCTTACAACACTGCTTAGAGTTTTGAAAATGAGGAAAAAGGGATTCAAATTATAAAAGGCAAAATAAACATTGTAGAGGGAATTAAAGCTTTAAGTCAAACCGTAATAAGAAATCTGCTTTAAGCGAATACAGCTCCCTATGTCCAGGTTATGTTCTAGGGTGATAAAATAGCCTGTGACTTTACCTAGAAGCTCCCTTTGTGATCTCTGATAAATCTCAGAGAATGAAGTATGTCCCCAAAACTGAAATTGGACAGGAGCTGTCCTGCTTTTCAAATGAGAAGAATAGATTCTAGAAATGATCATTTGATGAATTGAAGGCCTAATTTCAAGCAAATGTCTAGAACGAATTAGTAAAATTGTAGGTACTCAGAATAGGTAGTTATATATATGTTCACTAAACCGAGGGATTATATGGACTGCTCTAGTCAGCAAGTGTTCTTATTTCGATGAGGTACTCAACAAGTCTTCCTAGTGTCCTTGTGGAGAAAAATGGAGATGTATGGACAGGACCCCGGATTCTTAACTCCAGTTCTGGGTAGCTTGAGTACGCCCGAAGTGAACACAGATTCCTTTGCCTGGCACCATCCCTGGTTATGCTCATGTTCCTGGCATGGTTAGTAATAGCACCCTCTTTCTCTTTCAGAAGTGTCCCAGATTGGGTGGGAAATGATCACCCTAACTATATCACAGCTTCTGTAATCCTAAAATGTCGACATGTTCAGCTACCTAGAAAGTTATAATTTAAAGAATGTGGCTTTCTTCCAATTTTCTCTTTTTGCTTTTTTTTCATTATTCAATTTTCACTTCCTTCTTATTGCTTTATAGAAGAGTATTTATAGACACACATATGTAGAAACTATAATATCTTCTGGAATATTAAGCTATTTGTTCACTTAGCTAATTAAAGCAACAACACATAATGAATACATAAAATTATTGCATGAATAACACTTATGAATTACTACCTTTTGATGTTGTCTTTTTAGGATTCAGGCTAAAATCCCAGGAGCTAAAAGGCATGCTGAGTAAATTGATGTCCCACTGGGGACTGGACACAAACAGGAATGTCTAGAGTGGTAACAGCTCTTCTTACTCGTTACTGCAAATTGATTGTTTTTCCCCCAGTACCATAATCTTAGAGACAAACTTTCAAACAGCTGTTTTTAGCTGTTCCTGTACTCTTAGGATATTTGAGTCACTTGTGTCAAGCACTAAAGTATAGAGAAAAGTGTATTAGAATGTGGTTTTTAATTTTGTGTTGCAAAAAAAAGTGCATGATGGTGAGAGCCCAAGTTATCTTTCCTTCTTCAGTGTTCCTCTCCTCTCTGCAATGCTTCTGTAGCTTCTAATGTCCCCCGTGGCTAGGCTTTTCCTGCCGAGTGCACTGATGCAATAGTGGAAATTGCTTATATGTCCTTGGGTTGCTGGTTGGATTAATCTTTAATAACAATATATAGAACTGTAGACTGATGTTTTAGCATTTTTCCAACACACACAACGTAAAAATGAAAACCGTCGACCGTACTTATGGTAATCAGTTTTGTATAACTTAAAATAATTAAATAAATGAATAAACCCAAAACAAACATGCAGTACTTTTGTTGTATGGGATTGGTGGGCTGATTTACATGTATGGTAACTAAAAAGTACCAGCATGTTAACTTTATTACGATTTGTATTCCCTTCTCTGTAGTTCCTAACGGACTCAATTATGGACTCTGGATATTTGCACTTATGTACTTGATACTGAATGCATAAATAAATGTTACTAAATGTAGAAAGTTCTTCTTCTCTTCTCATGCATGGTCTTACTGGAAAACACGAGAGCTCTAAGAGACAAAGTCACTTGACATTTTGGGAGGGCTGAGACCAAGTGCCTGCCTTATTTCTCTCTCCACGACTACAGGGCCAAACTCCAACTTGGTTTATGGCTTCTTGGGGTTAGTAATAGAAAACTGAAGAGTAGTAACTGGAAAATATTCTTCGTACTGTACTCTGGGGGGTAGATACAGTCGTTTTAAATAGTTTTTTTTAAAAAAACTTGAAAGTGACATAAATCCTTACATAAACTTTTTATAGCAATATGCAGCACAACACTGGCATAAAACAATTGTAATTGCTATGAACTCACTCTTTTGGTAATTATTTATTGAGCACCGACTGCGTGCCAAGCACTAAGAAGAGGACTGTGAATAAGAGAGATGACAGTTCCTGCCCTCACCATGCTAAGTCTTCTAACGATTGCCCGTTGCCTTTTATAAAAGTTCGATTGCATATTTCACTGCTAGAATGGAAAGTCCAAGATGAAGAAGTAGCAGTGAATGAGAGGAGTAGCAGTGGGAGAAAAAAGGAATAATTACTTATAAAAAGCTGCCTTTGACCAGTTTTACAGTTGGGTTCAATGAGTATTTATGGAGTTACCCTTCTGTGCAAAGTGGTGTGAAGGCCACAGGGTAAGTGGGCACTGTGTCCACATCCAAGAAACTCCCACTTTGGTGGTGGTGGGGGGGGTAGGGGAGAGGGCAGGCAGCCATATGGAAATGCTAACTAAACAAAAGGTAGTGTGAAATAAGAGCTGTCTTACCAGGCTTGAGCAACAGAGAAGGATTCTCAGGGGAGGTGAACTTTGGGGCTGGTGGAGAAGATTCCTGAGTAAACTCCAGGCTTATAAAATGATAGGTATGGACATAGATTTTTAACAAATGAAACATGGGGCACATAATATCCTGCTTCTACTGGAAGCCTCAGCCAAGATGATGTAAATAAAGTGAGTGAGCACACAAGAAGGAGTGAGCACACAAGAAGAGGATCAGAAGCAGAGCCGCTGGAAAGCCCAGAGTGAATTAGGTAATTCTGAAAGCTGTGAACAGTAGAAAATTCTTACAGCCTATAGATGAGTTAAGCACGCAGGAGGTGAGTAGATGAAAAAGCTGCACTATGTCTTATGGATCATTTCAAGAATAAAGGAAGTAGGATAGTTTAAATACCCTCTGCTCTTTCCCCACCCATATTATTTTCCTAGGGTTGCTCTAACAGAGTACCAAAAACTAGGTTACTTGAAATAGCAGAAATTTATTTTCTCACAGTTCTGGATGCTAGAAGTCCAAAATCAAGGTATCAGTAGGCTGTGCTCTCTCTGATGGCTCTTGGGAAGAGGCCTTCCTTGCCTCTTCTAGCTGCTGGTGTTTACCAATCGTCCTTGGTGTTCCTGAGCTTATAGATGCCCCACTCCAGTCCCGTGGCCATCTCCTCCCTACGTGTCTTCAAACTGTCACCGCTCAGCGTCCACATTTCACTTTTGAGTGAGGACACCAGTCATTGGATTAGGGTCCATCCTAATGACCTCACTTTAACTTGATTACCTCTGAAGAGACCCTGTTGCCAAGTAAGGTCACATTCCGAGGAATGGGGATTTGGCACTTCAACTTACCTGTTTTGTGGGGAACAAAATTCAACCCATAATACCACCCCAGGGCTGAGACTGGCCTTTGCACTACTGTAAAGACTTTCCATCCTGTATAGATCCCAGACCTGTTTCTCCACGTTTATTCCTGGAACGAATCAGTGCAGAGAAGTAGTGGAACAGCTTTCTACCTCGCCCACATGCCCTTGGAGGGTGGCCAGTTGCTGGGCCTTGCTTCGCTGCTGTGAGGTTCCAGCAATCACCACGTTGTCCTTGAATAGGGCAGCTCTGAGCATCTAATGTTGAGCACTCTCATCTGAGTGTGGAGAGGCAGATGGGGGAGATAGAGGAGCCGCCACTGGCATTTGGTGTTAGCAAGTGTGGTAGTGGTTTGAGGGGGAATAAACGCCCCCTGCTGATCCAGGCAAAAGGACCATCTGCCTTCATCCTCTGACCTGCTTCTCTAATGCTTTACATTGGCACCCACTCAAGCTCCTCAATGTGATTTTATTCTTTTGTGGTTTTGTTTTATGATTTTAATTTTTCATTAATTTCGATGCATTCAATATTAAATTCAATATTACAAAATCAGTCTGGCTGACCACATTTTCTTTGATAAATGGCCCTTAAGAATTAACATTTCATCTTTGCCTGCCTTCTGTAAACATGCAACTGCCCCAGCTTTTGTCTTCTTGAA